AATTTTTTCTTTTTTCTCTCGAATTATAATGATCGCCCATATTTTCTTTCCTGTCTGTTCTTTTTTTCTTTCTTTTTCTTTTTCTCACGCGCTCCACGAAGTCGAGAACGAGCGTAGGGATGAAAACGCGATGTTTGTAGTGATGGTGAACCAGGGCTGGGACGGAAGGATGGTGGGGAGGGGGTAGCATCTCTCACACATCCACTCTTTATGGAACGATGATTCTATCAATATTTTCTGTCTAACGTGTACTCAATCTTCGTGAACTTGTGTATATGTCCGCCCCGCGTGTGTATGTGTGTGCGCGCATATGCTATTCGTATATGTGCTCGTTCACTTTCCCTTTCTCTATCTCACTCTTTCTAATTCTCTTTCTCACTCTTTCTCACATAGTATACATATATTCTTAGTGTCAATATTTCAATATCCCGATATCGTTAATTTCTCCATAGATATTGACTTTACCTCGGCGATAATTCGATTAACTTTTATCACGGTCGCTGCGTGATCAGTTATCTCTTTTGTCCTTCATCTTTTTCTCTTTCTTCTACTTCTTCTTCTTCTTCTTCTTCTTCTTCTTCTTCTTCTTTTACTACTATTACTACTACTATTACTATTACTACTACTACTACCTCGTATTCTTCCCCTTTTTCCTTTTACTTCTTTTTTTTTTAACCTTATCAACTTACACCCCTACGTGTAATTACTAGAATAGATACGAGCGAAGGTGGAGAGTTAGCCAGAAATCATGGGATCGAGAAACGCTATCTGATTTCGTTTGATCGAATAAATCATGGTTAAATCGTCCTCGAGATTTCTCTCTTTTACTACTCTTCGACGAAGAACTGATAAAAGAGTGAGGATGGGAAAAAAAGGAAAAAGATGAAGATGAGGATGAAGATGAAGGGGAAAAGGAAAAGGAAGAGGAAAAGCTTGAGAAGAAGAAGAAGAAGAAGAAGAAGAAGAAGAAGAAAAAAAGAAGAAGAAGATAAGAAAAGGAAGGGAAAGGGGTGGATATGGAATCGAGTCGAATCGAATCGAATCCTTTTGGTGACAAGGTCGAGGAAAGTTTTTAACGCGTGATAATGATCGAGAACCACAACGTCCACGGTGATTCGTCGATCGCGCGAAAAGTTTGAAAGTTCTTTTGCCTTTCGAATTGAATCTGAGGGAGGAGTGAGGAGTGATAAAATAGGAATAGAAGGGTGAAGGAGGAGAAGAGGTAGTAGTAATGTAGTAGTAGTAGTAGTAGGAGGAGGAGGAGGAAGAGGAGGAGGTGAAGGAGGAGGAAGAAGAAGGGACGCCAAACGGAAACGTCGTCCGGGTAAAACGCAAGATGGAACAAAAAGAGAAAGACAGAGGAGGCGTCTTGTCCGTAGCTTCCTAGAGTTCGTTGCTCTCTCTCTCTCTCTCTCTCTCTCTCTCTCTCTCTCTCGCTCTCTTTCTCTTTCTGTCTTTCTCTCTTTCTCTCTATCTTTCGTCGTATACACGCCTTGTCCCCTTGCTCGCATTCTATGGAATGCTGGACTCATGCCAAAGTCATTCTCACATAATTTCGAAAGAACACAATTGCCAAAAAATATATGTGACACGATTCGCTATTTCGCGAGCTACGCTATGGGCAATGGCGAATGAAAGAAAGAAAAAGATAGAGAGATAGATAGATAGATAGAGATAGAGAAAGAGAGAGGAAGATGGAGAGAGAGGAAGATGGAGAGAGAGGAAGATGGAGAGAGAGGAAGATGGAGAGAGAGAGAGAGAGAGAGAGAGAGAGAGAGAGAGAGAGAAAGAAAGAAATTCGTGTGCAAAGAGAAACGATAATCGGAAACTTTCGAATTATTGCGATCGTCGATATTCATTTCTTTGATCTACGTTTATGCGTGCCCGTTCGTGTATAGAAAAGGTAAAATAAAGAAAATGGAGTTTAAATGTGCTATCGCTTGGCGCCAAATCCTTTTAAGAAATTTACTAGTAGTTCCTTCTTTTTTTTTTCTTTTTTTTTTTCTTTTTTTTTTATTTTTAATAATTTCTTTTTTTTTTTTTGTATTATCTCATACGAAGCGATCGTGACTTAAATATAAATATGTTACTGAACGATCTATTTTCCTTTGTAATTATTCGACGGATTTATTTTTATGTTCGCTCGAAAAAGAAAAAGAAAAAGAAAAAGAAGAAGAAGAAGAAGGAAAAGAGGAAAGAAGCAAAGAAGATTATCGTGCATGTAAATTTTTTAATTTTAACTTTTTATTTATTTATTTATTTGTAATTTTTTTTTTTTATTTATTTTTTTTTTTTTTTAATTATTATTATTATTATTTGTTCATTATATTTTCATTAAAGGACGAAATATTAAAATCGAGATACATCGGCGCCATCTTACGATCAAATTTCTAATCCACCATTCAATGAGAAGTCGATAAAAAGATATACATATATATATATATATATATATATATATATATATACATATATATATATATTTTTGATTGTAGCTATTTTACATCGTATTGTTAACTCAAAGAAAAAGGATATTTTTAGTCTCAAGGAATTCAAACATACCCAAGTAAATATATACATACATACACATATATATATATATATTTGTGTCAATCTCATTGAAAATAAACTCTTGACTCTTGACTTCTTCTTCAGTTGGTTTATTCTAAGATATATCCCCCAACATTTTTGTTTCTCTCTATCTCGTGAAATTCTAATTCCACTTTCCGTGCCAAAAGAATACCGAATTATTTTCATGTATATGAGAATGTATCGAGGGGGTGCGATGACGTTTCAAGCAAAAAAAAAAAAAAAAGAAAAAAAAAAAGAAAGAAAAATAGAAATAAAAAAAAGATTAAAAATAAAAATAAAAAAAAAAAAGAAAAAAAGAGAGAGAATCTTTTTATATCAATCATTTCCTATCGATCATCTTTAAATCGCATTAATGTCGATCGTTCGTACCAAACGAAACGAGAAAATGCGTGATACGAATAATTTGATAAGGTAAATCTTCAAAATGACAAAAATCTTTTAATTCATATCTTTCGTTAATATTTTATTTTAATTTTAACAGAAATAAACGCGACATGTACGGTACAAAAAAAAAAAAAAAAAAAAAGAATTTTTATCTATCCGACGAATGAAATTAATTAAGATGGAATAATGTTAAATATTTATGAAACGATAATAATAAATTAGAAAGAAATTATTTCGCAAATGAGCTATATTGAGACTCGGCGCAAGAAACGTGATACGCACAAATTGATCGCATTGTCGTCGGTAGAGTTCTTCATGTCGCGATCATCTCATGCCGATAAGCGTAAATGAATTACTCCTGAATTACTTGCATGCGAACGTCGACTCTTTACTTTTTATTTTTATTCTCTTTCTCTCTCTCTCTCTCTCTCTCTCTCTCTCTCTCTCTCTCTCTCTCTCTCTTTCTTTCTCTATATCGCAGTATGTTGGACATTTACACGAGACTCGTTCGTTCGATATCGTACTTTTCTATCGGAGGGTTCCTATTTTTATCGTCTACATAATATATTCGTTTTCATTGTTATAGCTAAGGTTGTGAAATAATGAAAAGATTTAAATAAATAGTATTAGAAATAGATAAATAAATACATATACCTTCCAATTAAATATATTTCTATTATATATAAATATATTTCTATTAAATATATTAATTATATATATATATATTGCTTATTAAATATATTATATATTAATAAATTTATATAATATTATTAATAATATTAATAAATTATTTAAGATTAAAATTAATATATAAGTATATATGAATGTGTGTGTGTGTGTGTGTTTGTGTATATAAAGATTTGAATAAGCAGTAGTACATATATATATATATATATATATATATATATCCTTTATATATTTATTGTATAATATAGGTATATAATTATTAATATAATATTATATAACTTATTAATTACTAATAAATTATATAATATTTGAATTATATATAATTTATTAAATTATTAAGAAATTAAACATTCAGTATACAGTATACGATATTAATTATACAATAAAAATATGAAAAAGAAATGTGAAGGAAAAAAAAAGAAACTACCGTACGAATATTTCAATCTCGCGTCTATGAGATTTAAATATTTAATAATTATTCTCACTCTTTATACATATAATATAATTTATTTTAAGATAATCGATGAAACTGATAAATATCGTGATCGAATCAAATGCAATTAACATATATAGGTATAGAAAGGTAAGTTTGTCGTGTCTAACGTCAATGGCAACGTTAATCCGATGATCCATCACCATTCGATTCAGCATAGGTGATCGAAAATGGTCTTACTCTCTCTCTCTCTCTCTCTCTCTCTCTCTCTCTCTCTCTCTATCTCTCTCTGTACTTGGCAGGTCGTTGTTCGACCCTCACAAGCTTAAAGATGAACAACTAGTGTGCTGTTTCGCAAGACAAACATGCTGACCTTCTACGATTTCTGCTTCCATCCGCGAACATAAACGTCTCTCGTTCCTTTGAAAGCGACACGACACGACATGACACGACACGACACGACACTACACTACACTATACTACATTACAGTACATTACACTAAACTATACTACACTATACTAAACTATACTACACCATATTACACCATACTAGACCACACTAGTGCACACAATACTACATAACATTATACTAGAGCACATTACACCGCATTATACTATATTACATCATATAATACTATACTATACTATATTACATATATTACATACTATGCTATAGTATGTTACAATACATAAAGATTACACGATTATACAACACGATTACACGAACTCTTTGGTCAAAATCACGTGATAGATACATATGTATGTATACATGTACATATATATATATATATGTGTGTGTGTGTGTGTGTAAACGAACGAAAACATATTTGAGATTCACGCGTGACCCACCGAATGCGCTAGGTTGTGTGCACGCGCGACTGTTTACCCTATCAATGCAACTTTGACTACGTTAGTATCAATAGAGTGAGAAAGATAAAGAGAGTGTATATATATATACATATATATATATATATATATGCACACAACATACACATGTAATATGTATGTATACACACGTTGAACACACATCGTATAAAAGCCATATCGATTTCTACCCATTGTCTCCTACGGATATTAGCACGCCTATCGAACGCATCTACGTTCGTTCGACTAGCTACACAATGTTACGAGTTAAAAAAAAAAAAAAAAAAAAAAAAAAAGGAAAAAAAAAAAAAGAAGAAAAAAGAAAAAAAAGAATTTTTTTAATACAATGATACGAAGACACGAAAAATAATAGTAAAAAAAAAAATAAATAAATAAATAAATAAAGAAATAAATAAATAAAAACAACGAAAAAAAAAGATCAAAAAAAAAAAGAGGGCGGAACAAAAAATACAAAGAATATAAAAAAGAAAATAATAGAAAGAAAAATCCCATAGCGAAATCCTTATACTACTATCTCCATCCTTATTTCTATTTCTAACTCTATATATATATATATATATATACATATATATATATATCTTTCTCTCTCTTTATATCTCTTACTCTGTGCTTTACATACAACCAGGGTAAACTACCCCGTCGAGTCAGTTTTACGACGCTTTTCGCACGCACGACTTTTACTCTCTCTCTTTCTATCTCTCTCTCTCTCTCTCTCTCTCTCTCTCTCCCTCTCCCTCTCTCTCCCTCTCTCTCCCTTTCTCCCTCTTCCTCATTCTTTCTTTTTTACTCTCATACCTATACATACATATATATATATGCGCCCGCACACACGCACACACACACACACTCATATACACCTATATTTTTGATATGAAACTGGTGTTTCTGTGTTTTTATTAACGCTTTATAGACCAACGTCGACGACGTCTCATCCGTGCAAATAAAAATTCCTATAATCCTTGACGCCGGACTTCCTCTATTTCGAAGTTATATGCGACGATCCCCTCTCTCTCTCTCTCTCTCTCTCTCTCGTTCATTTTTTTCTCTATCTCTCTATTTTTTTTCTTTTTCACCGTCTTTATATTCGCTTCTCATTCTACCCATATTCGACTCCGACAATTAAAATATTCATATTGTTCGTTTTAATCCGCTGGTAGACAACGACGAAAACGTCGACTTTTTGTCGCTTTTCGTTTTGGCAAATATCGTTAAAGGGAAAGAGTAAAAGAGAAACAGAGAGAGAGAGAGAGAGAGAGAGAAAGAGAAAGAAAGAGAGAAAGAGAGAGAGAGAGAGAGAGAGAGAAAGAGAGAGAGAGAGAAAGAGATGCCAGAGGAGAAGAACAATTTCGAGTCCCGTGGCGAGGGATTAAATCGTAACGACAAATTCGTTGTTTTATCTTATTTCCGTTCTCTCCGTTCTTGATTGCCCCTTGTTATATATATATATATATATATATATATATATATATATATATATAAAAATGTATGTATGTATATGTATATGTGTATATATACATATGTTGCTTAATCGCCGTCGATTTACCTCTTTACGTGATGACTTATGTTTCATTGTCATCTACGCATACATTAAATATCCATGCATGTATATATTTATACATATATATGTGTGTATATATATGTATATATGTGTGTGTATGTATATGTGAATATATACGTATATATAATATATGTAATATAATATGTATGTGTATGTGTATATGTTTATTAATATTATTGATATAATATATAATAAAATTAAAATAAATATTGAAAAAATAATATATATATATATATATATATATATATATAGTTATAATAATATAATAAATCCAAAAATCAACGTCCAATCAACGTCGATCTTTCAGAATTACGAGAAATCGTTTATTGGTCTAAAATCTATTAATGTAAATCATCTAAAGATATTTCGATTCTAATCGAATAAATAAATAAATAAATAAATAAATAAATAAACTCACTTCTTTTTATTCTCCCGATAGGGAAACTTATTTTTTCTTTTTTTTCTGCTTTTTTTTTCTCTTTTTTTTTTTTTTTTTTTTTAGATAAAAACATTTACAAAATCTATACACATTATATATAATATATATATATATGTAAGTACATAGAAAGTAACTTTTCATGATAACCTTCTCATCGCGAAAAGTCGTCGAACGTCGTCGAATCTCGATCATCGTCATCGTCCGTCGTCTTCCTTGCCTTCGTCGTTGTCGTCGTTGTCGTCGTGGTCGTCGTGGTCGTCGTGTTAAGACGCATGCGCGTGTATACATATATGCCATTGGTTCTCATAGTACGTGCATGAGTCGTCTCGTAATCGTTATCTCTCACAGAAAAGAGTAGTGCAGGAGGAGAAGCTTTACGAAAATTCAGAAAAACGTGTTAAATATATTCGACGGCGACTACTCCCCTTCTCCCCTTGGTTGATTGTCGGCGCTGAGCCGGTAGAAACCAAACAAAAACATGGACGAAAGGCAGATACCGTCATTTCTCATTGGGACGTCCTGCAGGTAACAACATACAGAGAACTCACGAGGTTACAAGAGCTGCTACCATCGCTTATTGTTAGTCGGCATACGATCAATCGATTTTTCCTTATTTCCTTATATCGTTTTATATTATTTTATTCTCTTTTATTTTATTCCCTTTTATTTTATTTTATTTTACTTTATTTCATTTTATTTCATTTTATTTCATTTCATTTCGATATATATTTTTTATCTTTATTTTATTTTATTTTATTTATTTTTTTTTTTGTTATTTTACCCTTTTTTTGTTACGCTCGACCAGCAACCCCTGCTGTATAAATTTTCTCTAACCCTCTATACTCCCCTCCTTTCTTTTTCTCTTTTTTTTCTGTTTTCTTTCTATCTATCTCTTTCTCTCTCTCTCTCTCTCTCTCTCTCTCTTTGTTTCTCTTTTGCAACGCCAGCTAGCAACAATCAAACACATTGAAAACGATCGTGGTAACGAGAAATTTGATTGGTCAGTGAGTAAAATTCGTCAATTGCCGTCTCTTTTTCCTGTTTTTTTATTTATTATTATCATTATTACTATTATTATTATTATCATTAGTTTCTTTTTTGTTCTTTATTACTGGCGTATGTGTTGTACGATTTTAATTGCGTAATATTGTCGAGAGATAATTGCTCGTTTATATTTCAATTTCGTATAATCTCGTAGAAATTTGAATATATGCATATACGTTTCGTCGAAATGTTGTAAATAGATTTGAAGACAGGAAATGATATTTGGTGGCGTTTGTATAATGGAAAGATCGTACGAAAGATATCATCCAATCACCATCGATGGATCGTTCTACATAGATTTCATAGGTTAACATGATGTATCTCTTTTCTCTCTCTCTCTCTCTCTCTCTCTCTCTCTCTCTATCTATCCATCTATCTTTCTTTCTCTCTCTTTCTCTCTCTCTCTCTCTCGCTCTTTGATTTGATGGAATTTCGCCAAAAATTTAATTCGATTAAAACGGATCAATGAATATAATTGAGTGAATAGAATATTTTTAGGAAAGATATTTGTAGGTCAGGTTAGGTTAACTAGATACTAAAAAGGCGGGATTTTAAACATCCGTCGATAAAAGCGGAATTCTGAGGGAGAGAGAGAGAGAGAGAGAGAGAGAGAGAGAGAGAGAGAGAAGAGAGAGAGAGAGAAGAGATAAAGGATCATACGCTCGTTCGATGAAAAAATATGAAATATTGAAGAATTTCTAACGAAAACGTACAAACGTGGACTAAACCATGATTCTTTTATCTTTATTTTTAATTAACAAATCTTGGTATTGATTCGTACGCAATGTGTGTGCGTTCGTTGTATGTGTGTGTGTGTATATATAAAAGGTGGGGTAGCTGCATATGGCGGAATATTACGAATTTTTTTTTATTTACTTTTTTGTTTGTTTTTCTTTCTTTTTTTTCTTTTTCTTTTTTTTTTTGAAGCTACATATCTCGAAGGCATACATCTTTTTTAACACCCGAATCTCTGTATTTGTTTGTTATAATATACAGGATGTGTTCGAAGTTAACAAGTTATTTGAAAAATCGATTACTCTTTCCTCGAGACTTCTTTTTATAGGTTAAATTTTTACAATAATCAATTTTTCAAGATTTTTTACAGTAATCTTTTTCCGAGATTTTTTTATAGGTTAAAGCTTCTTTTTTTCTTTTTTTTTTTTTTCAAATCATAAAACTATACAAGCCTAGTAGCTTTTCATTTTGATTATGATTTTGATTTTAAGATAGAAATATTTGGCATATCTTGTAATTGTTAATAATCTTTTTTTTTTCTTTTTTATAATTTCAATACTACGTAATTACTACATATAACTCTTAGGATATCTCTTTAATACCTTATTTACATACGTTTTATTGTTCGTTACGATAGAATTGATAATATTTCTCAACTTCTTAATTGATGATACATATATATACGAAGGTGTTCGTTTACAATGTGCTGAATAAAGATCATATGTCACGCGTAGTTTAAAACGAAAACATGACGTAATAGTTAGAACAGACCGAAAATATTCCATTTAAGAATAATTAACATTGTAAATGCTCTTCTCTATTATTTTCTTTTTTTTTTTTTTTTTTTTTTTTTTTTTAAATATAATGATCAAGTAAGACGACAAAAATTTTGAGTTACATCGTATTTTCGTGTTCTTCTTCGAGTTATACATATAAGGAAAGAAAAAAAAAAAACATATTTTGATCTAGATTTCAATTATTTATTGATAAAATTAACGATGCACATTTTATTTCATTCGTTACGATTTATACAGAGTAAATCAACTGCTGATACAATCGTATGTGTAGCGATAATATAAATTTTTTTTTTAAAAGATTTTTATTGTAGAAAAAAAAAAGAAAAAAAAAATCCTCTCTCATATTTTATAATAAGAATAATGTTTATATTGGGACGAATAATTGTGTTTATATTGTGAAATGCAATCCAACAATTGCAACAAAGATAAATAACGTAGTATAAAATGAATTAATATAAAATGAAATTAATATCGATGATAAATATAATGTTTATGTCGTCGGAAGTGACGGTATTTATATTACATAAAACGCAATGAAACAATTCCAAACCGAAATAAATAATACAGATGATGAATATAATATGAATTAATTTTAATCGCAAACATAATGTTTATATTCGATTGAATTAATGACGTTTCTATCGTAAAACAAAATGAGAAATTATTACAAATCAAGATAAACGATTTGAGATGATTATTTATATAACATGAATTAATTTTATTATATCAAAAATAATGTTTATATCGTTGCAAATAATTCGGCTTTGTGTTTTGTAATATATTATTTTTCAATGGAATAAAACGATCATTGTGCCGCGGTAGTCATTGAACTTGATAGTTTTCAAATTATAATTTCGAATTGGTTCGGAAGAAATTTCAATTGTTGATTAAATTAAACATCGAGATATCTTTTATACATTTTTATTTCTTTCTTTTTTTTATTTTTTATTTTTTTTTTATTTTTTGAAATTAAATAAATGATACATTTGTTAAACGAACTCTCTCTGTCTCTCTCTGTGTTTATTATTCGTTTCGATCAACTATCACACCCTGCCAACTTCGCCTATATCTCTCTCTTTCCTCCTACGCAGTTATTTACTATTTTTCTCTTCTAAAAGAGGAAATCCCATTGACGATGTTTACGAATATCGATATTATTACACATTATGTCGCAATCGTTCTAGATATGTAACATGACGTTCTATTTCTAAACAAGAACAATGGCCGAATATATTTCGTAGTTGTATATATATATATATATATATATATATTATCAATATTTGAAACAAGTTCGTAACATTCAGGAAAAGCCTATTCGTTCAACTGAAAATCGATGATTCCGATGCTTGACCGATATTTAGAAAAAGAATTATCGATAGTTTGCGAATTGCTTCGAACATTCTGCATACATACATATATATATATATATATATATATTTGTGATCTGTGTGTGTGTGTGTGTATCTATTTGTGTACATATGCATACGTGCTTGAATGCAAACATGTATGTATGTATGTATGTATATATGTTTATATATGTATATATGTATATACGTATGTGCATATGTACATGACGTCGATATTATTATCTCGATATTTGTATTACTCGTAATCGATCAGAACAATAGCTTAATATCCTCGATATTCGAGATATTAATTATATAGACGATTATACGAAATCGTACGTGCTATGTATTATACCGAATTAATCTCTAGACGCACATGTATGTATATATCTATATATATATATATATATATATATATATATATATATATATATATATATATATATATAGATATATATGTATATAACTTTGGCGCACATTAATTACGTAGTTAAAATTAAATTAAATAGTATATGTATGCAAATTTGATGATGATGATGATGATGATAATGATAATGATAATAATAATGATAATAATAATCATTATTATTATTATTATTATTATTATTATTATTATTATTATTATTATTATTATTATTATTATTATTATTATTATTATTATTATTATTATTATTATTATTATTATTATTATTATTATTATTATTATTATTATTATTATTATTATTATTATTATTATTATTATTATTATTATTATTATTAATATTTAATATTGAAAACATTATTTATTATATCATTAATAATAGTAATAATAATAATTATTATTATAATAATAATTAAAATAATTAAGAAAATATTATTATAATAATAATAATTATTATTATTATTATTATTACTATAAATTGACTGAAACAATTAGAAATCTCAATTATTACGTATATACCATACGACAAATTCTTGCGAAATATAAGATATCATAAATCATAATTTCTCGTGATTTATAATATTCCATAAATTTGTGATAATAAACTTGACGAATATTTTGGTTAATTTCGTTGCTTATTGGTCAATCATGGCTGATTTTGTCGAACATTCGAGAAGATTAAATATCGACGAATATCGACATTATGTAATAATAGTACTTTACACATATGTGTGTCGTGAAAGAGACAGAGAGAAAAGAAGAAAGAGTTAGAGTGAGAGAGAAAGAGAAAGAGAGAGAGAGAGAGAGAGAGAGAGAGAGAGAGAGAGAGAGAGAGATACAATAAGATGCAACCCCAAGAGAAAAAAAGAAATACAGTAAAAGGTACGTTGCGCGCGTGCGTATGCGTGTATATATGTGTGTATGTGATTGTGTGTGTTGAAAGAAAGAGAGAGAATAAATACGTCGAAGGAAAGCATGCGGTAGAGAGAAAGAGAGGAAGAGAGGAAGAATAACAGAGAGAGAGAGAGAGAGAGAGAGAGAGAGAGAGAGAGAACGGGTCAGTTCATATACGACGCCAGGTTTCGCTACGATCGTTCGGTGTTCTCTCATTGCCGGTCGACAGTAATAAGCTTGATTTTAAAGCAGAACTAGTTTAACATTCAACGTGTCCACTTTATTTTC